AGAAAAATAGATAGTTTGATACTTTATGTAATGTTTTATTTATTATTTTTACAATTAATCGAAGTGACTATTTTAAAATGCTTTAAACAATTCAATTTTATAAGCCAGGATCTTTGTAACAATATTATAGTATAATTTTTAACATCTCACGCATACTATAAATTATAGCCTTACGAAGTTCTCGAAAAATGAAGGACATACAATTTTTTGGTAGCATTACAAAAAACAAAAATATATTGAAGTCTGATAATCGGGTTAACTTATTTTATACATTATTATACATTTGCAAGGAACAAGTTTCTAGTATTCTGAGCATAATGCGTTAAAGATAACATACGTTAGTATAAAATGTGCAGTTTCTTTGTAAATATGGATTACTCTCATTCAATGAAAATTTAACTAATCTAATAAATTATTTTTTTTGATATAATTAATATGCAACTTTACGTTTCTAATTTTGAAGAAAAATATTTAAAAAAAAATAAAAAATCTTAATGTTTTTTTGAAACATTACAATTATTATGAAAAAGGCTATTACTTAATATTAGATTAAAAAAAAAAAACCTACTCAAATATTTATACTATATCATGAGTTATAGTGATTGAATTTCCTATTAACTAATATAGGTACTTACTATAAATTATATTTTTTTACATAACAATATTTTTAATAGAATTTATATAGCATAAATAAGAAAATTTTTAAAATTGTATTGAATAAATTATTGATAAATTAACCAACTTAAATTTTACTAATGATAATATCCAAGTATAAACTCCAAGTTATGAGAAACGTTGAGTTCAATCCAATTTTCTATATAAGATTATGAAAAGACATAGACGTATATTATAATATACTGCATTGGAACGTTTGCAATGTTTTATAAAAAAAGGTTCATTTGTTGGGATTGAGAGAATAAAATGTCTAAGGTTTTTGCATAATAAAGAAAATATGAGCTCATTAGTTTTGAAAAGAAATTATTATAGTCTTTGTAATATAGCGAAGAAGAGAAAACGAGAGAAAAAAAAGACAACGTAGTGGTGGTAATAATAAATGGAATAGCTAATTACATTAATGATTCACGTCGTTTCTTTAAATCACCAAGGTATTTAACAATACAAAAACTGATGTATTTAAATGCATATACAACTATTACAAAGTATTAAAGATCAATCAAATGGGCAAGTGCGCACCAAAACGGATATATCGATAGTTAAAAGAGCACCGAAAAAGGTTTTTTAAGCCCTACAGAATCCTTGTAGTATAAATAATTATGTTTGGATTTAGAGGGAGGATTAAAAATTCTTGTACTATATTGCTTGTTAGGTATGATATTCTGAAATATTTGAAAAGTTATAAATACTCAAAAGTAAACGAAAAATCGTGACCGGAAATAAAGAAAGCATTATGACCACCTACAGTTGATTTACGAGTAAATGATAAATTGGTTTCAGACAGTTTTGAAGCACACAATTTATTCTAGTCGAAGAAAAGTATCTTAAGTAAACGGTGTAAAGGAAGTAGATATTTAAGGAAATATGTAGGAAAAAATAAGAGATTACATAAATAGCTAAAAATAAGTTATTGAGGTAGAAAATTTCAAGAAAATATAGCCATTAGGGGAACAAGTTTTCTAGAAGTATCAATATTTTCGTTGTATATTTTGAAAAAAATTTTTTGTGATAAAATATTTTTGAAGACCAGACATTTCAAAGGAAATATGTATTCTTCCGGCGGTTTCTGACATGTAGAACGACGGATATAATACTTTGTTATATTCACGAGCGAAAAGTGTTTTAGAGGCTGTTTAAATATTTAATTTTTATTTATAAACTATTGACACAAAAAAAAGTATAAATTATATACTTACAGTAATTAAAATAATATCTGAGAATCTACTGAATACTAAAATCATAATAAAATACGAATATCTTCTAAAATGTACAACAGAAATAGCTATGTTGTACCACCTGATTTAATGTTGTACCGACAGATTATTTTCAACACTGCTTTATTCAGTGCACGCATTGTACTTTATATATCAGTTTGGATTCTATGTTTAGCAATACATGATTATTCCCAAAGTTCCATTACATGCCAAAATTGAAATAATATTTTGCTCTTTACCAAGGCTGAGCAAGTTAACTAATTTTTTTAAATTCATTGAGTTAAATTAAAATAAAAAAATGTAAGTCAAGTTAAAAGTAACTTAACTTGAATAAAAATTAATCACTATATTTTTTTCACATAAATCTAATAATAAAACACTTTATAATATGCTTAACAAATAACATAATACAATATACATCTTACAATTTAAAACAAATGTATGCTATTACATTAATTATTGTAGATATTTTCATATCATTAATCGTATCTTAATTATTATTACTTTTTTTTTTTTTTAATTGTAATTTACGCCATTTATTTTATTTTATTATTACGTCTTTTAAACAATGTAATCATACAAATTAAGATCTAACATAAATTAAAAACATATAAATTATATAACAAAAACGAGATGTATAACATAATAATAATATAACATAATAGATTTAAACTACATATAAAAGTAACGTTAAAATGAATATAATTGTGAAAATTGTAAAACATATAATACTTTAGGATGTAAAATATATAAATTTTAATGTATTTTTAATCAACAAGTTTTATCGGCAGTTAAAAAACTATTTTTATTTTGTTTTATTTATCTTAGTAATACTCACAAAATTGTCACGAAGTTATTCGGGTCTCTAATATTATACGTCGTATTACAAAATGTCCTTTGCCTTTATTTCGTATCGATTTAAAATTTTCCAAAAACAATACTGATGTAAAAAATCAGATTTACTTCTTCACACCATAATTAAAAAAATACAGTCATAGAAAAAACTAATCTCTCCACAAAGCCACGATTATCGAACTAACTTTTAAACAAGTCATTTTTCTACCGATCCGCTCGATGTGTAAAAATTTGAAGATAACCATTACACTTCGGAATGCATTAAATTACCGTCAGAACCTGCTAAGTGTGCCTTATGCACAAGAGCGCACACAGTTTCATATGAAGGATATTCGGTGTTCAAAAAACTTTTAGTAAACTACAGAAAATATCAAATTGGCAAACTCCATCATCAATCCACTCTTAATTTCACCATACTACCTACAAGTTATGAAACTCCCAGCTCAAATCAGAAATAACAACAATCATATGCCAATGTCACTACTAATTACTGCCAACATATCATTTTTAGCTACGCCCGAAAACTCGATTTCCAAATTTCTCGACGTTTTTGAAGTCAATTATAGAATTGACTCATTACTAAATCTAATAACGATAGTTTTAAAAAAATTTCCTCCTCTTCAATTTTTGTATTTCCTCATTAATATGTTAAATTTCTTACCTATTTTCTTAAAAATTTGATTTCGCGTTTAAGCATTTGTTCGCTCAAAACTTGCATGTTTAGTATGTAATCTATTAAATTGATATATTTATAAATACGAACATATCGGCCCAAGTACGTATTTTGTCATAAATAGAATAAAATTAAAACAGTCAAGAGAAATATTTCTATTTGCAAGAGTCCAATGACAATCAAATTTAAATAAAATTAAATAAAATACAAATATTAAACAGTACTTAGCTATTTTATTATTATTACATTAAATATATATAATTAAATATGTTTGGTAACATGATTTTTATAATTTCGTTTAAGCTATAATAAATACATTTTTAACGCATTTTTATAATGCATTTTTTATAATTTTTAAAGCATTTTTGGATTTTTTAGAGCATTTTTTGCAACGAAGGTACGAACATTTTCTGTCATGGTTTTTGATAAATATATATATAATAACAAATACATTTTCTATTTTCTATTTAATTATTACAAAGTATAATATTCTTAAATGCGATAGAAAATAACTACACATAGTATACTTTCATGTTTTTATAACAATTTGGCGAGGCTGAGCTTCACTGGCCTCCCTTGACGAGCCGCTACTGGTATTATAACCCCTAAAAGTGATATCAAAAATAGGGAATGGATGATTTAATAGTTGTTGGTATCTAATCCCTTCATTGTAGAAATGTCGATACATTAGTTGTCTGAACGTCGATAGAACGTTTTTCTTTTAATTTAAAAGTAGTGATATAAAATAATATTTTGAGACATTTTTTAGCGATAGGCACTCAACATTAGTAATGAAATTTATTTATCAAACTATTTAAAATAGTGCCTATCAAATTAGTAGCTCTTTTCATCTCAAAATTAACTATTTTTTTCGATTAATTACCTATTGTATTTTTATTATTACACTTGTCATCAGTGCCGGATTAAATATTTGTAGGCCCCTTGGCAATTACAATTTAGGGCCCTATAAAATTATTTTTTACATACACCTTTAATATTACTATCCAATAATTAAAATAAACAGTTTTAATAATAACCAACTATTATAAATAAACTAGCTGACCCGACAAACGTTGTTTTGTCATATAAATTATTTCTAGAGAATATTTTGCTAGAAAAAAATAACTTATTTAATATAGGCATGTAAGAATGTGAGTAAGGATAAGGATGTAAGGAAGAGGTATGGAGTGCTATGAACGGTGACGAAATATAAAAATGAAAAAACATCAAACATTTATTTTTTTAATAATTTATTAAAATTGATCCATTAAAATTATATTTATCGTAAATTATGACAATATTAGTGAAAAACAATATCTATCCCTTAATGCAACAAAGTGTACAATGTTTTTTGTTATCCCATTTTTCGCCAACACAAACTGGATGATTCGAGAGCACGCCACGTATAATTGTTAGTATGAAATATATGATATGCTCAAATTTAAGCCAAAGACACAAATCGTTTGGCTTTGAGATTTATTGATAGTCATTGCAAATGCCTATCTAGTTGGAAATTGAAGGCGTTTAAATTGTATTGACACATCTGTGGGTATAATAGGGATTCGCGGTAATAATATATTTTCACCACAGAATTTGCCATTTAAAATGATGGCTTCGATAACATTTTTCATTAATTATTTAACGACTTTTCGCGTGCTGTTGCACAACCATGGTTGTTTCAAATTACGAAGTAAAATAAACGGAGATCCAACCTTCAGTTGTAAATTATGCGGTGGCATGCCTGGTAAATGCAATAAGTTTAAAAACACTGTTGGATAATTTATAGCTTCAGTAGCATTGTAAACTGTATCGATTTGTATGACACCAAGTCTCCTGGTTACAAATGTTGTATATTGAGATTCAATTCGTTGATGTCCACATTTTTTGCTACTAAAATTGCTCTTTCTGCCAGCCACTCATGATTTGTGTATTGTCTGTGGTTGCGCCACTACCGATCTTACAAATATGGCGGTTGTCGGCAACGACTTGCGTTTTGTGTTGAGGACGGGAGTGCAAGAGGGTTAACCACGACAGCACGATCTTTAGGTCGGAAACAGGTATATTTTTATAATAAATAATAATAAATAATAAATTAGCGGGCGCCTAAATAAAAACTTAATCGTAGAATCTAATTAACATTAATACATCATATACAATAATAAGACCTACTTTGATCGGCCCACTGACCACGTGGGGCTAAATAATAAAAATTGTATAACCTGGTGGCGACTGCACGACTCTTAAAATGTTCCCTGGGTTTCACTAATATGTAGATCTCGCCGGACAATTCCACGTATATCCTCTGTGGATCAAGGAAAAACCAATAATCTCCACAAGTGCCCGGACGCGGAGAACCGGAGCGCGAACGTTACGCTCAGTTACACCGCTCGAAAAAGACAAAAAGGCTTGGCGGCCAACAGCTAAGCTTACGGCCGAGACACATGAGCGGGACCGTGGGAGGGGAAAGTATCCATAAAGATATCATAACTCGTTCCGTGTTCGAACAGTCTGTGTACATTGGGAAATATCTGGTCAATGAGAGCATCTTGCGAATAAATGATTGTGTAGAAATCGGTCGGTAATTTTATACATCCCGTTTCATCTGTAGTAACTTTCCCATCCCCAATATCTAACAATTGTTTTGAGAATCTTCTGCACGCAGCTTTTTTTGATTGAATTGCAAGTATTGAAGTCGTTTGCTCTCTATCTTTACATACATTTCGACCATGAATTGTTGACAAAGCTCATGACATCGTAGAATAACTTTGTCTTGATCGCGTCTAATCATCAACCCATATGCATAATAATTTTTCGAACTAACATTCTTATTTGTTTTGGCACCAGTTGCGGGATCTTTTTGTTTAATATTTATGCAATACCCGTCATTTACTACCAAAAATAAAATTAATAGTTTTTAAATAATTTTTAATAGTTTTTTAATAGTTTTATTTAATAATTCATTTTCAATTGCGCAGTTATCGACCGGGTCAAAAATTATTAAATTAAACTATGATTTATTAAACAATAGCACTTTTCCAAAAATTTTTCTCGTAAAAACCTTCTTCTGGCAATTACGAACAATTAAAATCATTTGAGCCAAATCGGTCCAACCGTTCTCAATCAACGAAATGTAATACATTTTTGGCTCTATTTTTATATATATAGATAAAATCATGCTTATTAAATTTTTTATTTGTAAGAAAAATGAATTAATTATTATATTATTTCTATGTTTTTAAAAATTATTTTATTATTATCACTGCATATAACACCTACAACTTAATATATATTTTATTTCATAATAAATTTTGTTTCATAAATTTGTAAATAAAATACAGGTATTATTAAAAAAATATATATATATAATTTTCTGTTTTCACAGGGCCCCTTATACGAGTGAGGCCCTAAGGCGGGTGCCTACTCTGCCTAATGGATTATCTGGCACTGCTTGTCATATTGCATGATATTTTTAAGCATAATTTTAGTAAATGTATTATGTTGCAATAAAATAATATTTCTATGAAATTTCGCAATTATTTTCATTTGTTTCGTAGAAAATATAAATACTTACCCCCATTGCGACAATGGCGTATTTTTGGTGGGTGGGGAGTTTCTTGGCCTCAACCCACCCTTCCAGAATAAAGAAAAGGTTCAAAAGTATAAGGATTTGCTACAAAGTCACAGAAAAAGAAAATATTAATTTATATCCCATAATTAAAAATAGCTAGTATTTATAATAATAATAATAATAATAATAATTATTATTATAGAATGATATAATTATTGATTCGTATATAATAAATATATTTTATAATATTATAAAATCACATACTTATTGAAAAAATGTTCAGCCCCCCCCCATCCAACAAACACACACACACAAATAATTATATTATGTATGTTTCGAAATGTTTTTCAAGTGATTTGTTTTGTACTCTGATATTAAAATTAATTATCATATGGCGTATGAATGAGGTGAATAATTTAATATTACATCAGAATTTATTTGTTTAATTATTAATAATAATTCAAGAAGATTAACGTTAAAAAAATTCTCTTGTTATTATGTTGGTTGTCTTGACAACATAAAATGTTTTATTGGGTTAAAATGTGTAGACAAAATAACAGGATATGGCGTACTAGTTAAAGCGTATATATGCGGCAGGTAGTTGACACCCTACAATACTAAATTATAAAGTTGAAACAACATTTGTAATAATTCCTAATGTGTATGAAATATTTCATATTGAATTAGTTTATAGTTATTTTTTGTTATTACTGAATTTTTATTTACTTTTGCTTTTATTCGATTATACTTAAGAAATACATTACGAAATATAACGTATAAACGAATTAAACAACTGTAGGGCTTGTCTGTCAATAAGTATAAACCTAAAATTGTTTTTTTCGCTTTACTTTTTATTTCAAAATATCTTTTGTTCATCATCTTCATAGAACTAATAGTGATGTCATCACGAAAACATTAACTTCATCTTTTGACACTCTTATATTAGACTGAAATAAAAACAGTAATTTCACCGTCTAACTTTCATAAAAGATATTGGTTTATATTTGTAATGATTCAATATTACTGCATTATATAATATATATATTTTTACAATTATCCAATTTGCTAGCACGTTTACGCTTAGAGGAAATACTATAATAGATCAATGATGATAATTTATGAAATATATATATATATAATTATACTTGTATTTTAGAATTCGATTTTGCATTCTATATTTTTATATTATCTCCTGCTCAGGCTTACGTGAGTATACCAAACGTTTAAAACATATAATATAAATTCAACGGCAAAAAGAAATCGCATACGAAACTGTTTGTTGTTGTAAAATTGATAATATTCTTACGTTAACAATGGTATCTACAGCATCCACAACAATAGCAACGCAAAATCCACTAGGGATTTGAAAACAGTGGTTCAATAACCCTTTTGGGATGATATTTTTATAACCAACAATTCCGTATCAGTCTCTCCTTTCAATGAAAGGCTTTCATGCTTACTGGATTGCACAGTGGAGCCCGGAGCATGAATATGCTTTAACGTTCAGCCGTGCTATTACCACGCAAGCAATTGGCCTAGAAAAACAATTCCAAACCTTGGAAAAATCGACATGGCTGAAATATTATTATATACGTTATATTGTATCATGTTGTACACGCATGTTTATAATATTTCTGTAATTGGACTTGCATCCATTTACTGTTGATTAGTTTATAGTACACGATTATAGTCTGGTTCAATTCTTAAGAACAATCTTAAAAACAATTATTAAAAATGAAAAATCTGCTATCCAATGGGATCGATAATTAATATTGAGTCTTGCTCAGTTTAAAATATTCAGAATCAGGCAATCTTGGTTAGTAAAAAAAAATCTAGTATTGCCGTATAAGTGGTTCATAACTTTGAATACTATATAGTGAGTCAGACAAATTCTGTACAGTTAGGTTTTATGAATACAATTTTGTGTAAATAATATTAATGATATACCTATTGTGGTTTTGATAAATTATAAATGACACTCAATGATTTATTATTCTTTGTAAGTATAAAATAATGGTACATAATGGCCATTTTTGGCAACCGTTGAATGTCAAGTATTCCGTTCGTTCGTTGTTCGAATAAATTAAACCGTTACAGGTTGAGCTGGTATCAGCATTTAGCATGGCTACATTAAATAACGTTTAAATACAAAATATATATACATGTCATTTTTCGGATGTGTATTGTGTTACGTTCATGTACTCCATTGTGTAGTAAAATTATTGCGTTGTTTTCAAGTTAGAATATCAAACATTGTTTTCCTCGTTGATTCGATAATCTGCTTCATTGTTTTTATAACGATAATTGTTCTCCCTCTATAGGTTTTCAAATTGAAATACAAATTCATTACAAATCATAATAATCACTGAACATCTACGTGTACTTAAATAATGTATGATTCGAATAACAAAATATTCAAATGTATTCCTTTTTACTTATCGTTTGTTGTCTGACCGAGCTAATTACAATTTCAATATAATTGTTTATGTATACTATAGTAAACATTAAGACAAAACCGTCGCATCATCGTGTGTTTACTATTGCATGATATTCATTGTAGACGGCCTAATGTGTGTAGACGGTTTATCAAATAATAAATATGTTAAGTAATAAAATTCAAAATACAACTTGATATACTACAATTTCTTAAAATATTGATTGCAATGCATTCGTGACAGCGCTTTGTAAGAAAATTGCAATTAAAAGCAATTATAATTTCAGTTATATGTTAAGAATTATAAATAAAAATTATAGACGTAGAAATTATGTTCACTGAACATTTTTGAAAAAAAAATGTTCATATTTTTTTTTATAAGACTCAATATAACGGTGTATTATTTTTGTCTATTATAATGATTTCAATCATTAAACGATTTAAAATTTTAAAAAATATTGAATTTTTTATTTAATTGATGTAGCCCTACTAGTATATATATATATATATATATATATATATATATATATATATATATATATATGTATAAATGATAACATATTTTATATTCGTTAATCTATGAGGATTTTATTAAAACGGTTTTGTCATCAATTTCAAAGCTCAACTATGATTACATTTTATTAGATATATCAAATAAAACACAGTATCATCGAATATATACTATTTCTATTCTTATATACAATTTTCAAAGGATATTGAAAGTAAAAAAAGAAACTTCTGTAATTATTACTTTTTACTTTCGACGTGTTAGGAAGTATCTTCCATCACTGAATGTAAATAATCTAATAAAAAAACTTTTGGTTCGATACAAAGATGCTATTAAAGATGCTTTTTAAATAACGTAAATGGGTAGCTAAGATCAATGATACTCTTAAAACTATCGCATTTAGTAACTACTGAAAAGTTGTCAAACAGTAAATAATAAAAATCGTTTTAATCATTCCTCTAATAACAATCGCAATAAATAATAAAAATGTTAGATTATCGTTATCTATCTTTAAACATTTTATTTGAATTTATACTGTCTCTATATA